ACATAGCCAAGCTCGACACAGCCAAGCAGTTGCCAAAAATAAAGCTTTCAAATTTGTTTTTAGGAGCCTAAATAAAAACAATTCATTCTCTTTGAGGTCTGAATCTCACTTACAAAAGCATCAGGAATGGTTAACATCTTAAAAAAAGAAACTGTCAGTTGTGCTTAGAGGCTGATTTTGAGCACACAGTTTTCAAATCTGTCCAATAAGAGACTTGTCTAAAGTCACAATGGAAGTGGTTGTTTCAAACTGAGATTAGAGGCCAGATCTTTTAGCTCTGTTTTGTGCTTTGGTGTCCAGCCTATTCTTGCAAATACTGTGGATGAGTCAAGCAGATGGGATCATGTGAAAAGAATCCTGCTTTCTGCTCCCTCTGCCTTTACCTGGGTGGAGGGCGCTGGCTAGCAGAGATGAGGAGTTAATATCTGTTTGCACTGTGTTTTGGCTCGGCCTTGCTGCTCAGGCAGTCTGCTCTGAACAAGCATTTCCCGATGCCTCTGCTGCCCAGGGAGAGCCTCAGTAGACGGGGGTTTCTGTGTGTTGAGGGCTGTGCTCTTGCTTGCAGTCTTTAATCACCTTCAAATGTTTCTCTTACCTTTCTGCTGCAAGCTCTACAGGTCAGAAAATGCACGGGTCTTGGGCGTGCTTGCGTCTGTGCAAATTGTGTGAAGTTCAAGGCAAGATGTGGGCACCAGAAGTGTCAGCTGTGACTGCAGGTGTTGAACCTCTCTCTGGGGCTGCTGCTGTTTCCGAAAGGCCCTGGCACAACCACTACTCGAGAGCTTAGTCATTTCTCATGTTACAGCAGGAAGCTTAAAACAATAATTATTCACAAAATTGAAGTTAGAAAAGCTGGTTCTAATCCAAGATAGATGGATACTCAGTGGACAGAATGGCATTAAAGCTCCCTGCTATGCATTGAGATAAATAGATAAATATGAGGTTCATAGTAATGGCTGGAGGCTGCTTGGTGCAAGGCAGCTCACGTGCCTGCAGTGTCACGGGTAGACCAGTCACTGCCACCTGCTTGAAAAGCTGATAGGGCCATAATGCTCCGGTTCAGCCTGGGCAAACCCACATGTGCAAACCCACAGAGGGGCGAGGTGGTGCCTGGAAACTCCTGGCTGGGGTTTGTGGTCGCTGGGATTAGGGGATGGTGCTGGCCCTGCCTTCTCCTGACTGCTCCCCCTGCAATGCTGGTGGGGAGAGGGCAGGGGGCAAAACGGTGGCAGCAGCTCTGCTCCCCTGGCAAGTCCCTGTGTGTGCAGGGGAGCTGCGCGTAGCCGGTGGGAGCAGAGCTGATCCTTGCTGTGAGCTGAGCTGTGCAGCATGCGGGCGCCGCGCAGCCGGTACTGGGCTCTGTTTGTTTTTTCCGTTCCCACTCTGAATCAGGCTAGAATGTTTTCATATATGTATGCGACCCAGGGAAGCTCCCGCGCCTTTGATCCAGCTCAGCCGATTTGTTAAGCTGTTGTGTAGGTTTTGGCATGCCCCCATTGACACAAGGGTTATTCTTCAAATCCTTGAGACTGCCTGTATGTAAAATTGCCTTGCTGAATCAGGAACATTTCTATTAACCTTCACTGTCTTCTAAAAGTAACAGCTCATTGTTTTCCTTTCCTCAGCACCTCCAAAGCCTTTGTTTTCTCAGGATCTGTTCACGGCTCCGGAGCAGTGGGATCTCTGGTCCCTGCTTGCCCGGGGAGCAGCAGGTTCTGCCCCATGGGTGACGCTCACCGGCGCGCACGGGCCGGCACTCACTCCGCTTCCCGGCAGAGCCCGCCGGCAGCTCACGGCTCCGATGGGGAGTCAGGGCTGGCTTCCCGTTTCCCGTTTCAGTCACCGGTATAGACACCACATTATTCCGCGTTATTCCAGTTCAGGTGCTATCCTGTGTCCTGGGCCACCCTACTCCAGGGATGAGGATGGCTCATGCGTGCGTGCAGGTAGCCGGCCTTGCTTTCCTTTGGCGAGCTCTTCGGAGCTCCCCTTCCTGCAGGTCTCAGCTCTCTCTCTCCCCCATCCTTAACCCGTAGCTTGACTCCCACCCTCAGCCAAGCCCTTGGCCTGCAGCTCAGCTATGTTCCCGGGTTGCCTGGTGCCACGTGGGGTGTCACCAGCAGCCCTCCAGGTGCTTCTGCAAGGCCCTGGAGCTGCTCTCTTACCAAGCCCCTATCTTCATGCTTTCCTTTCTCCATGCTTTAAATTCCCTGCAGTATGAGTTTTCCTTTCCCAGCTGAACGCTGTGCTCCTGCAAACAGCACGTTCGCTTCTTCCGATGGTGCCGCTGCTCGTTCCCGGGTTGCCTGGTGCCACGTGTCACCAGCAGCCCTGCAGGTGCTTCTGCAAGGCCCTGGAACTGCTCTCTTACCTAGCCCCTATCTTCATGCTTTCCTTTCTCCATGCTTTAAATTCCCTGCAGTATGAGTTTCCCTTTCCCACTGAACGCTGTGCTCCTGCAAACAGCACGTTTGCTTCTTCCGATGGTGCCGCTGCGGCACAGGCCACCACATGGCTAATGCTGGTCCTTGTGCCTTACCCTTGAGCTGGTTCCCTTAAAATAGGGAAGGAAGATGGGGCCTGTGTGAACGTGTTGATCATTCTCAGCCTCGCACATCAACCATGGAAAGACTTTTCCCAAGATCTGTATTCATGCTGTGCTGTACCAGGGAAACTGATAGGAATGTAA